CCTGAGTGAAAATAAAATCTATTCTATCTCTAGGTTGGCTCTGGTGTCTCATTTCTATATATAAGATTTGTCTTTCTAAGTATAGTCTATCCAAGATTAAGGCAATCATTCATCTGAAAGGACCTTATCATTTTTAAAAGATTTAGGAGAAATCTACCTCATACACCTGAAATATTAAATTTAATTCATATAGAATCTGTTTTGCAATGTTGAATATATTAAATGATCTTTCTGTCTGCATTCCTTTTTGAATAGCAAATTCAAGTGAAGTTCTCAATTTAGAGAACTTTGCTCTCACAGCAATCTAACTATAGTGTAAAGTGAAGTCATCTCACAAGGTTCCTGTCTTCATTATTTCATGACTTCAAGAGTCCCAAATAAAATCAGAGAGAGTTAGGGGAGCAATGTTTTACTGAATTCTCCCCCCACTCTTAGTGCTCTTCCTTACAGCATGATCACAAAATCCAGTCATCTAATTGATGAACACTAATTACTGCCCATCGTCACAGTCCCCTCTAAACCATGACTTAGAATCATGAAACTTCTCTGTAGAAAACCTGCTAGCATCCCCTGGTGTTAGTTCCTGTGAAGTGGGAGGTTCACATCATGAACAGCAATATTTTGCTACAGCTGCTCTGGATACATCTCATAGCTCTTGCCACGAAGCTTTCTGTGCATCTGTAGCATGCTCCAAATTCAAGGTCTTGGCAGATACTTTTACTCTGCCAAAAATTGTTTGTCTCTCATTGGCCCAGAACCCTCTCACTTTGTAAAGAATCTCTCCATTATTACTCAATAAGAATTATTTACCCCTGTTTCACACTAACAAAAGAAATACTGCCTCTCACTTTTGAATTTTCTAATTCTATGGAACAAGTGTCATTTTAGTAAGGTTTGTCACCACCTGACATTAGATAGAGACAGATAGATAGATAGATAGATAGATAGATGATAGATGATAGATGCATATTCAGTCTAAGCCTCTAAACTGAACTTTACTCTTCCTCTAAAAAATTTAAACCATATCAAATGCATACAAAAACAATAATTATTTACCACTACACATTTTTAGGTTACCTATTATTAGCAAAATTAGATAATCAATGCAAGATAGTGCATATTTCATTTGGAAAAAAGCAATGAGGAGGAGAAGAAGAACTAAAATATATTGCACTGTCTCCCTACTTTTTACGATTGGAGACAGAAGACCTATTACTTGCCTTTAGTTTCATAAGACAATAGCTACTAACTCCAGCAAAACTCAGACAGGAATCCACTTTGCCTCCACTGCAGTACAGTGCACATCAAAATATGCTTATTTCTACATAAGTACCCTTTCTTTGAAGTTTCTCCATTAAAAAATACAAACAGTGACTGTGGATATAAAAAAAATAAGAGTGTGCATTTACTGAAAGGGTCAATTAATGTCACACCTAGAACAAGTATTAAAGATGGCATGTGGTCAGCTTTTTTGTTGTTGTTTTTTGGGTTTTTTTTTTTTTTTCAGGTACCAGGAATCGAACTCATGACCTCACGCTTGCCAGGCAGGTGCTGTGCCACTGAGCTAAATCCCCAGCCCCTTGGTCAGCTTTTTATCATTTGTAAAATATCGTGGAAGTGGCCATTCCTGTCGTTGTATTTTGAATATCCACTGTGTTCCAGGTGCTTTAGCACACCCCTCCCTACTCCTCACAATATCAAGGTAGGTTTTATTAGCACCATTTTTCAGATGAGGAAAATGAAATTTGGCATGTCACAGAACACTGCCCAGTGTCACAAAGACAGAAAGGACCAGGGGCAGAAATCAGACCAACGTCTCCAAGGGCAGCCCCATGTTTTCTCTAGGAGCCCACATTCCTCCATGGATAATACTGGGCATTCTGACAGTCTCTCCTGTACTTGACCTTATCAGCTTGTATGCAATGGTCATACCGGGAGTGGGTGCAGGCCAACATCTATCACTCCAGAGAAGCAAGGTGGCAGTGACACGAATGCTGGAATGCCTCCCTATGGAAGAAGCAAGTCCTACTGACTTGACTGGAACCAAGAGGTCACCAACACTGGCCAGAGAGAGAGGCAAAAAGGGGAAGAAGAAATCCAAAATGATTTGCATTTGTTTCCTTGCTTTGCTAGGAATCCATATCTTAGAAAACTTCACAACTATAACTAACTATTGTGTGTTTTCTGGCTTTGAGATAGCATAAAAACATTGAAAAGGAAGAGAAAAGCTCATTGTGATGGCTTAGAAAGTAGAAAAGTAAGTCGTTTAATTTTTCTGTCATCTCACACTAACTTATACAGAAGCTAATAACATATTTGTGGGCTCAAAGCTTTGAGTTGTTGGGAGGATTTCCCTCTCTTGGCCAGGTTTTCCTGTGATCTTGGCCTGACGGAGCCAAGGACTTCATTTCAGTGTGTGTGACACTGTTATCAGAGAAAAGTGATACGCTGATACGCTGACATCTTGAAGGCACTATTAACTGCTGCCCTCTGAAAACCAGTGGTGTTAAGTGCTCTGATCTTTCTCTAGCTGCTGCAAACATAACAAAATGAACTGAAAGAGAGGAGAAGGAGAAGCAAGAGGAGGAACAGGAGGAGGAGGACGACGAGGAGCAGGAAGAGGAGGAGGAATTGGGATGTGTGTGCCAGAGTCCTGCAGGAAGGGAGGAAACCTTTGACTCTTGAGGGAGAAAAGTATCAGGCAAAAGACTTTCCATCAAAGGAACATGGTTACTTTTACATCCAGGAAGGCTCTAATTAAATTGGTATTTCTTTCGTAAATGAAAAATGTAATTCCACTGCTGCCAAATCACCTACAGAACACAGGCAATCGTGCTTGAAGAAATGCAGGATCTTCAGAAGTTGATGTTTGAAATGAAACTCGCTATGAATAAAGTAATGACAGCTTAAAGGTCTAATTCATAAAGGTGTTATTAAAGTATATTATTTATACCTGCTTTCTGGAAGCTTCTCTTATTCACCACTTTCACAGAGAATGGCTGTAATGTCTGCAGGGTATATAATGGAAGCATTGATTCAGTCTGAGCTACGGCGAGAGTATTGTATCACCACAGCAAAATCCCAGCTATATTAATTTAAAGAGTAGAACTTACTGTGCAAGAGCTTTCCTTTTAAAAATTGAAAAGAATGTTTTCTACCTTTTGACCTCAGATATCTACTTTTACTCTTCAATGTAAGATGAACTAATTGGCCCAGATTTTGAAATGTAATGTTTATTCATCTATATTATGAAGCATAGGGATCTGGATACTGAGTTGTGATCTTATTGTGATTATGGCATTGATATTTAACGTGGGCTTAGAAATATATGTAATTAATCTGTAATTTAATGAACCCCTTTCTTGATTCATGATATCAGATGGCAGTATTTGAAAATGTCTATTCAATTCCCTGGCCTATGCATTTATTTAGATAAGATGAAAAATTCCCTGTTACATAAAATTGGAATGTAATGACACTTCAAAATATTATTCTGAATTTTGAAGATGATATGCATATTATAATTGCCTAAACTTTTAGCAAAAGGCAAAGTGGATTTGAACTGGTTTATTTCTAACTCTAGAATTAGAAAACATTGACTTCTTGCCTCGTACTTCTGATTGGAGGAGCTGCAGCGGGACACTGCACACACTTTCAGATGAAGTGTGAATATATTTCTCCACAACACTAGATTGTCTAGAAGTCATGAAAAGAGGCTCTTTATAAATTATACTTCCAACACTGAAAGTGTCTTTGATCTTGTAGGTAGAAAAGCTCTATACCTCAGGGAATGAATTAATTCCTATATTTAATCAGATGCAGTCATTAGTAGACAACTTAAGCATTCATTTTAGCACTGCACATTGAATTTCTTCAGCATAATAACAATCTTATCATGGTTCTGGGTAATGGAAATCTTTGAATACATCAGCTCCTGAAATGACAGACAAATGAAAAATGTCAAAGAGAAAGACACCTCAATATAGTGTAAATAACACTAATAACAAGAGAAAAAGATCAGTCGGTACCCAACATTAACCCTCTTATTCCTGCTCACAATGCTAGAATCACCGAACATTCCATTTCAACCACTCTGTCCAAGCACAATGTTATTATTATTTGAAATAACTATGCTCACCAGCAAAGTGTCCAAAGATGTCTGATTGCCTTATGATTGAGGTGCGTCTTCTCTTGAAGTTCCTGCTTTGCCCCTGAGACCAGGCTTCTGTAGATTTCTGGAATGGGGATCCTTCCCTGACTTTCAGGGTGCCACACAGCTCTACATGCCATCAGAGCAAGTGCTAACTCTAGGTGCAAATACTGAGCACTCTCCTTGATACAGCCACTCAGAAAGGGCAGTGGAAGTCATGTCCCCAACACATTGCCAGACAAATGTCACCAGGCTACACATGCTGGTAGACAAGAAGCAGACTGGAAAAACATCAAAATCAAAATATAGTTTCATCCATTGATTTAATTAAACTGAGTGTATGAAAACAAAAGCTGAGTCTTTCAGCTTATGTGTAGTCTCCTTCTTAAGAAACTGTTCTTCGGGGACTGGGGATTTAGCTCAGCGGCAAAGCGCCTACCTGGCAAGCGCAAGGTTGTGAGTTCGGTTCCCGGTACCGGAGAAAAACCAAAAAAAAAAAAAAAAAAAAGAAACTTTTCTTCATTCTCTCTATAAATATCCCACATTAGGTACTAAACAAGTAAATTTTTCAGCTTTGCTCATAATCTAGGAACAACATTAGCAGCATACAATTTTATGCTTTTACAGTGAGCCCACAACAGTTCAGAGAACTTGGTGAATATTAGCCAACTTTGAGAACGTATTGTCATTTTACAAATGAAGAGAATTCTGCCTGGAAAGGTATAAACTGTTGTTGAAAATCACGAAAATGTCTAGGAGCTAAATCAAACTCACCAATGCTTCCTTTCAACCTTGATTTGCCATGTGTACTAAATTTTCCTAAAGAAAATATTTCACTTTTCTTCTCTAGAGAAAGAAGATGAGAAGAAGAAAGAAGAGAAGAAAGTTACTTCTGAAACAAAAAAGAAAGGTAAAGAATTTAAAGGCTATGTAACACATGAACCAATGAGTATCCATCCATTATGCTACTGGCAAAGGTTGTTTTCTAGGGAAAAAGTTCTCCTAAGAATTTTATTGTCATTACTGACAGTGTTGGATTTTCTAAATATTCTAAATAAATTCTATATAAAATATTCTAAATAAAATAAATTTCTAAATAAAATTGAATTTGAAGTTTTTACTTATGAATGTCTGGTTAACTTTTATTTCCTTAGGAATGGCTTCTCAATTTTATTTAATTTATTATCTCTCTTGACCATCTACATGAATACAGATTATTATTTCATTAATTCAATTTGATAAAGAGGGCTGATTATTTTATGTACTAAGAAGAGAATATGGGAGTGACTTGCTATATCTGTTTTATTTTTTAAACTGGTTGTTTTCAGATAGCTCGTCTGATGTCCCTAGATTTTCTGAGATTATCAGTGCTTCTAACATACTTCCAGTGACTTGGGAGGTCAGGGGGAAATTCACTATATTCCTTTTAGTATATTTTTAAAAATCAGTTCACTTCTATCATAATTAATAATGCCATTTAATGTTTCCACTCTTATGAAATAATTTTTTCCCTTAGAAATAATATGTCCCTTTTGGAGTGAAAGCAACTAGACTGCTAATCTGTTCAGAAAGAGCAAGCTTTCTCATTTATGGGTCAATTACATGCACCCTGAAATATGTAAGCATTAGAAGGTAGAGGCTTATCTCTAATGACTAATGATGTTGAACATTTTTTCATATATTTATTTGACATTAGTATTTCCTTATCTGAGAAGTGTGTGTTCATCTCAGATGCCCATTTTTGGATTGGGTCTTTGAATTTTGGGGGCCTCTTTTTTTTTAATTCTTTATATGTTCTAAATAGGAGTCCTTTGTCTGAGGGGCAGTTGGATAAAATTTTCTCCCAATTCGTGGGTTTTCTTTTTACTCTGTTAGTGATTTCTTTCAATGTGCAGAAACTTTTCAATAAGATGAGATCCAAGTAGTTGATTCTTTGAAGTTTTTCCTGTGCAGTTTGGTTTTTGTTCATGATCTCCCTGCCTACCCCTTTGTCTTTGAGAGTTTTACCTACTTTCTCTTCCAGTAGATTTAGTGTTTCTATTTTGATCTATAGATCTTGGATCCATTTTGACTTTAGTTTAGTGCATGGTGATAGATAGGGCTAGCTTTAGTCGTCAGCACGTGGAAACCCAGTTTTTCCAGCACCATTTATTAAAGAGGCTATCTTTCTTCCAGTGAACATGTTTGGCCCCTTTGTCAAAAATAAGGTGACTGGGTGTGTTTGTAGCTGTGTCCGCATCTTCTTATGTGTTCCATTGATCTTCAGGTTTGTTTTTTGCCAGTACCATGCTGATTTTATCACAGTAGCTTTGTAGCATAATTTCAAGTCAGGGATTGTGATGCCTCCTGCCTTTCCTTTGCTTCCTAAATGTTTAACATTATTAGTCATTCAAGAAATGCAAATTAAAAGAACATTGAGATTTCTCTCACCCCACAAAGCATGGCTATCATTAAGAAATCAACCAATGACAAATGCTGGAGAGGCTGGGGGAAAAAAAAAAACACTTCTCCACTCCTGGTAGGAGTGTCCATTGGTGAAACCACTGTGGAAATCAGTTTGGAGATTCCTCACAAAACTAGGATTAGAAGTTCCACTTAACCCAGCTATTCCCCTTCTGGGTATTTTTCCAGAAGAATTAAAAATGTCATACCACAGTGATATATGTGCGCCCATGTTTATAGCACCACAATTTGTCATAGCTAAATCTTGGAAACAGCACAAATGCCCATCAACTGAGGAATGAATAAAAAAGATGTGGTATTTCTATACAATGGAATATTACTCACTATAAAAAAAGATAAACTTGAGGCTTATATACGTAAATGGTTGCAACTAGAGACCATACTCATAAGTGAAATAAATCAGACCCACATATGTAAACACCACATTGTCTCCCTGGTGTAAGAATATGAAAGAGTAAATAAAACCCAAAATGTACAATAGGTAATAAGAAAGGGAAAGAAATTGCTCAAAGGAAGGAACAACTGGGATGAGGGAAAGAAGAAAAAGAAAGTACTAAGGCATCATATATATATATATATATATATATATATATATATATATATATATATATATATACACACACACACATGGATTAGTGGTATAACTGTACTGTTGGTGTCTGATGGTTTGTGGAGGGGAATAGTTAATGATGAAATTTTTTAAATATTTTGACCAATTTTGCATGCTTATATCTCGTAATCTGAGCAATTTATGTGATGACAACAATTTGCAGTATAACAATCATTAGTGAATTCTTACAATCCTGTCTAGTGAAATGATGTGTTGTCTCTAATGTTCTTTTAAATTATTATTTTCTTATTGCCTTTAATGATTTAATTAATCTTCTATTCTTACATCTGGTAATCTGAGCAACTTCATTGAAGATAACAATATGTAATATAACAACCACTGTTAATCCCTATCATTTGGTTTGAAACCCCATATAATTTTTAAAGTCCTTGCTTTGTTTTGTTTGTATTTTGCTACTGTTCTTTTTTTTTTACTCTTTTCTTTAAAATAAAAAATTTTAAAATAAAAGAAGGTAGAGGCTTATAACTTTCCTATCTTACCAGCAGACAAAGAAGATGCTAAAAGGAAAAGTGAAAAGGAAGCTGCTGCTGATGTGAAAAGAAAAGGTATTGCTCTTTGTTTCCTTCCTTAGATTATGTTCCAGATGTTTGTTCCATGAAAAATCGTGGTGCATCATGTACAAGGTGGAAAGTTATGTAAATCCTCCAATGTGTAGACTGTCAAACCAAAAAACTGAAACAAAATTCCCCAAAACTGAAAAACAAAAAAGTACTACACCATGTTAAAGGAAGACGTTCAGAGTTCTTCCAGTCAACTGGAGGGATCAGAACTCAGTCTGAACTCAAATCTACTGAAACCAAAGGTCGGAGAGCATGTCAGAGCTGGACTAGGGTATGAGAGGCCACCCTTGTTTGCATGTTGGTCTTAATAAAAGGAAAATGTTCTCCCCTATGTATCCAATGAGAAGATGTAATTTTACAAGTTGGTGCAAGGTGGTTAAAAAGTCAGGCTCTTCGCCTCCCACAAACTGTAGGGAGAGCAACACTATCTTCTTGATGGTTGCACTCCAAAAAATGGTTCTCAGACCTCTGAGAAAGCCATCCTTGGTCTGCAAAACTGGAAGTGGTTATTAAAAAAATTTACATATTAGAGTAGAGAAGCAATTTGCAGTACAGCATTTTGTAACAGAACTGCCATAAGCAAAGGGAGGTTCATCACCTGGGGTCAGGAAGAAGTCTGTCTGTCCTGGTCAAAGGAAAGGCTGTCATGGCCAAGACACAGGGAAATGACAAGAACTACATGACATAACAACATGGCTTTTCAAAGATACGAAGCTGAGAGAGAATAATGCAGCTCACAAAGAATCTGGGTTATTCAACTGTTTAACAGCTTAGATTTTTTGCTTTAAATTTAGTTTTATTTTTATTCTCATGCAGACATGAATATTGGCTTCTATTTATGTAAAGGCTTAAATCTACATGGAAAGGTTTTCATCTCCAATAGTATGGTTTGGTGACAAGTATTCTTATCTCAAGCATTTTGCTCCAACATGTCCATAATGCTCAAGATCCTCCAATCAGAGGCACTCCATTCCTGTGAGTTATGAAGGAATTGTCCTCCTTTAAAATGCCGATCTCCTAGACCCTGTGTGTATGGGATAAACACTATTTCCTTGCAGCTATTAACAACCTGAAATTTCCAGATCTTCTCTGTGGAATAGCAAACTGAAAATGATACCCCAGAAAATGAGGCAGTATGTGAGCTTGGATGAGCCAGAGGCCAAAGAGAGCATTGAGCGGGCACTGCTGTGGGCGGCAGATGGACATGCAGGGGCTGGGTACAAGTCATCCCTTAGCTCATGAGGGGTAAAGGTACTGGGGAAATACTCCACAGAAGAGAAGTATGGGCACCAAACTAATAACGATTATTCTTAGCAGGTAGCAAATAGGAATGACAGGCTTTGTCAATACCACAGTACAAATGAGGAAAGCATAAAATACTAGGAGTTGCCTGATAGCATAGTTCATAAAAGGAGCAGAAAGAGACAGCCAGGTGCTGTGTGGGTCTGGGAGTTGATTGCTAATTACCCACCTCTCCATTTCTATTATTAAAGGTGCATTATTGTAGACTTTATTGTATTTTTGAATATTCATGAATCTTATTCTAAAATTTTGTTTATTTTCCTGGTGAAATATGAATTTATCAAATGAAAGGACAAGCACGGTTCTGACTGATGATACGGAGACACTCTGTGGTCAGTGGGTCTGCGACAGGTCAGGGCTGGGTGGGAGAGGACCAGGAGCTCCTCACTGGCTCAGGCGGGACAAAGGGATTTGCAGATGGAAATCCTAAACCAACATCCATGAAGAGTTTTTCATGTTCGCGCCAGCATAAAACCAGAAACATTTCACTCTGACTAAAGTCAGTGATGTGTGTGTATGCATGTGTGTGTGTGTGTGTGTGTGTGTGTGTAACTGTTGTCTCGTTTGGGTTTTAACTTTGTGGGGAAAGGCAGCACTTATGTGTGCACAGTGAGGGTTGGGAAAGCTGGAGGCGGTGTGTGCTTGGAGGACCTGTGTGATTAGCGCAGCCCTAGTGTCAACATGAGGCTGGGTCCAGGCCCCGAGAGAGGATGGCCAGGGCTGCCGCCCAGCAGCAAGGCTCAGCCAGGGAAGCAGATAGCAAGCAGGGCCATCACGGGGTGAGGGAGGAAGGGCGGCTCGGCCAGGCCTTCCTAAATGCAGCTAACCTTCTTCCTGAAACCAGTTTGATTCTGAGTACATAAAGTACCATAGGCTCTGCAAATCACTGCAACTTCCTGATGGAAATCTGCATTATTAAATAATTTACTAAAAGTCCTTAACTCTCAAATGCTCAAAGTTTGTATGTGTTTTTGTGAAAGACACAGGGAAGAGAGAGAAAGAGAAAGAGGGAAAGAAAGAAAATTGACCTTAAAGTGCAAGAATTCTCTACATTTTTGTGCAACAGCAATATAGTTTAAAAATGGCCAGTCTGAGGCTCATTATGAGAGTAATAAAAATTTAGAGAGATAATGAAATAAATTGAGTTTAATTTAAAATCTTAAGAAGCCTGAGCACATATGTCTTTTCTTTCTAAAATAGTTAAAGAAATATGGTAAAGCATATGATATACATGTATATGATATCATCACTGTGCCCCTAAATAGTAGCAAATGTACACAGCTGAAGATATGCCTAGGAGCTTGTTTAATATATGTTTTACTGTGATATTTTATTATATTTATGTGAACCTCTATATGACTTATAGGACTATGTACTACATAGGGTTATTTATATTTTTACATTTAGTGTGCAATACAAAAGGAACCACGGCTCAAATTCTATTCAGAGATAAAAGCCCCTCACAGAATGAAACCAAGATATCATACTGAGCTAATCATCTGTGTTAGGGAAAATGTAGGCTGTGTACTACATGATACAAAATCATCAGCCTATTGATTAATAATAGATGAAACTGAGTAATTGGTACAAGAATGTTAATTATGATAATATCTTGTTTAGTATATACTTGCAATTATACATGTAAAAAAGTCCACCACTTAAAAGCATAGTGAGAAATTAGAAAATCACCAGGACTCTTTTGTTATAAGGTACATTTCTTACTATGAAAAAAAGCAACCAACCAAGGAAATAAAAAATTAAGAACATCTCCCTGTGTTCTTATTGGATTTCAGTGTTAGACATAACATTTGCTATCTCTAATACCAGGAGACTGTAGACTGAGAACTGTACCTATGCAATTGTTGGTAGGACAGGAAGAACTGAAATCAAGGGGATGGTACAGGGTTATTGAGCAAAGGTCGTGAAACAGATCATTCATCACAGCTGTCTCCTTGATACTCACAGTGGCCAGATATTGGAAATGTGCAGGCCAACCGCAGAAACTCACTGACATCTTCACTTGCAAAGTCATTCGGGTGGTTTGCCTGGCCACTTCTTGACAGTTTCATGTAGGTGCATCTAACTTTTGGCAGTGAACATCTCCAGGATGAGTTCCACCTACAAGGAGTCTGCACTCCCATTTCTCCAGCTGGGAAGAGGGGAGGACAAGAGTTGAAAGCCTATGTCCCTAGTATTTATAGTAGTAACACTTTAAGAAATGTCTGAGAAGGTAAAGTTCACGTGAGATGGATTTTGAAGACCTAAATTGTTTGGGTAATAAACATGTGGGTAAGTCCCCTCAAAAACCTGAAACTTGTCCATTCCAAGTGCTCCCAAGACACACTTGAATGAAGCTTATGTTGGTCTTTACTTGACCCATGGAGGAGGGAGGTCATGGATGTTCATTTTCTCTTCCCTCCACAAGATGATGATTTTTAAGAAGTAATTTTCTAAGTGCTTGATGATGAGGTTACAGTGCCTTAAAAAGATCACTGTGTTGCTTTATCTTATAATGAAAATATTATAACCCTGGAAAACTATAGAGATCAGCAGAAAAAACAAGCCAACATTCTGCTGTTCTATTTCTCTCTGGCTGCCTGATTTTTGGAGGTGTGATAAGGTTTTTGGAGATAATTTTGCCATTACATATATGCTTATAAGATTATTAATTATGAACATAATTTTTGTGGTGCTGGGATTAAACCAAGGGCCTTGTATATATTAGGCAAGTGCTGTACTACTCAATTGCATCCCCAGCCTTGAAAATAATTTTTCCATAATGATTGATTAATGGTAACTATATAAAATTATATTTAGTTATCACAACTGCCATGGGATTTTTTCCAAAAATTATCTGAATAGAAGACTGAAATTTTTTTTCTAAAGTAAACTGTAAGAAAGGGACAAATTAATAAATTCACTCATGTGTACAGACTTTGCTTTTTGAGGCTGGGTCTCTCTATGTAGTTCAGGATGGCTTTGAAGTCACTATGTAGTCCAGGCTGGCTTTAAATGCTCAGCCATCCTGCTTCAGTCTCCTGAGTGCTGGGATTACCGGCATGAACCATCACACCCACCTTGTGTGCACACCTTCCAGCTAGAAATATGTACCAAACGCCTGTTCTACGCCAAATTTTCTCCTAAGTGCTGAGTGTACAAAGGTGGATAAGTGGACATAGATTTACCCTGCTGAAGCTTACAGACTGATGGTGAACACACACAATGCAGAAGGAGAAAGAGTGTCCCTAAGCACAGCTTGGAGTAAGGACGATGGAGGAAATAAATTTGGGACAATACAGAAAGATTGTATTAGATTAGGGCCCTTTGACAAGGAGCCCTTAAACTGAGATCTGACACGCTGTAGGGTCTATCCACTAATGCACACAGCTTTGTGATGTGTGAATATGATGTACATATTTGCTACATGGATGTGTATATTTCATGAGCAGTCAGAATAGCACACCTGCAGAGGACACAGACAAGCACTTGAATTTTTACTAAAAGTGTAAAGGAAGGTTATGGACAGACGTTTTAAAGCTGGTCATCTCTATAGATTATTTTTTGCCCTGGGAATAACTATGCTTATCTAGGGAGCCTGTGTCAAAAGAAAGAGAAAAGAACCCACAGCCAAGGCCAGGAGAACTCCAATATCTAGAGTCAGGGCAAATCAAGAAGCTGAAAGG